GCTTACGTGACATCGCTATCTTCTGTTCACCCTACTTCTTTGACTCGACAGCACCTTCACAAACATCTTCCTCTCCAGGTTTTTTCCTTAAATGTGGAGCTTCTCCAGGGTTCTATTCTTAGTGTGTTTTCTCTCCTTACCCTGTACCAATGGTTCTCAAATCTGGCTGTATACTGGAATCACCAGGGAAGCTTTAAAAAATCGTCAGGCCTGGGTCTCATCCCTGATTTGATTGTGGTATGGCCCAGGCATCAGGGTCTTTCAATCTCTCCAAGTGATTCTAAGGTATGGCCAAGGTGGAGAAGCTCTTTCTCCAGGTGATCTCGTCTACACCTACAGTTCTAGCCACCTGAAGGCAACGTTTCCCAAATCTCCATTCCTGGTTTGTTCCTCTTACCCTGAGCTTTGGACTTGTCTGTTGGTTATCTTCACCCTCTAGAAGTTCAAAGTCAAATGACCAAACTGAACTTTTTGCTTCCTCCTCAACTTGGACTTTCTTGCGTAATCTCAAACCCAAGATGTTTATGTGCTTGTAAATAGCGAATAAAAACACTCTGTACCCACTGAGCTGACCACATCAAACACTTTCATTCTTGACTCCCTCCCTTCACTTCCCACACTGCATCAATCACCAAAGCTCCCTTAAATCCATTTCATCATTTCCTCCACCCCCTCTTTTTAGCCTTTATTCCTCTTTCCTTCTATCCTGTACAGGAGTAACTGGCTCCCTGCAATTCATGCCCTACGTGCTTCCATAGTTACCTTTCCAGAACACAGATCTAATAATGCAACTACCCCCTTGCTCAAACTCTTCAAAGGCTGCCATTTGTCTACAGAATAGAGATCAAATTCTCCCTATGGCTTAAAGACTTTTCATGATCTTATTTTAGCGTGCTTTTTCTTACTCAAGTCCTTTTATTCCTCCAAAGGCACAGGGTTCTAAACGTTCTAAGTTACTGCAAGTCTCAAACACAGCATGGTCTTTCATGAGCTAATAATGTTAAGAAAAATTATCCAAAATTTGGAAATAAGATTACTTAATAACTAATAAAAAGGTGACTCCCTGTTCTTTCAATGTCATACTGGAGTCAAATAAGTGTATCTGTGTTTTCTGATGGAGAGCAGTGCTGTCCCACAGAGCCACAGAAGCTTTTAAATTTTCTAGTAGCCACATTAAAAAAGAAGCCTGGCCAGTTAGCTTAGCTGGTTAGAGCTCAGTGTTACAACACCGTTCAAGGGTTTGGATCCCTGTACCAGCCAGCCACCAAAAAAAAAAAAAAAGCTATAGTGATTAAAACAGTGTAACGTTGGTAACAAGAGAGACAAAAAAGAAGTAAAAAGAAACTGGAGAGATTGATGTTAGTAATGCATGTTATTTTACCTAATATATCCAAAATATTATCATTTTAATATGTAAACAAATTATTAATCAGATATTTTAGATTCTTTTTTTCATCCTAAGTCTTTGAAATACAGTATTTTATACTTACGGTGCATCTTTGGAAGCTACATTTTCATAAGAAGCGCTTCATCTGTATTAAGATTTCATAAAATTTACAGTTGGAAAAAAAGATAGAGTCGCATAGCCCAGTTGTTATAACATACCTATAAGTTTTCCAGTAACTGCATTGAGTAGCAAAAATCATTTTCCTTTAATATTTGTATCCACATCGACAAAACTAGCAGCTTTTTTTAGAATTGTTTTGACTTTGAAGCAAAAGATGTCAGTTTCAAAACCATGTATGTCCAAGTAAATTCACTAATTTCTGTCAACTTAGTATTACTAATGTTGAATTCAAATGGAGCGTTGTATGACTTCAGAAGCAATTCTAAATGTATCAATATAAATGAAGCTTTCTTCATTTTTATTCAGTTCTTATAGTTTTTGCAGCCAATTTACATAATGCTGTCTATTAATTAAAATCTTCTGAATATTTGATTCACATTAGAAAAATGTATAAACATATTATTACTGATTTGTGTCATAAAAAGTTTCAGTTTCAACATCAATTCTTGTACCTCTCTAGCTAAGTCACAAATAAGCATTTCCTTTCCTTGGAGTTGCAAATTTACCTTGTTCATATGCAATGTGATATCCATGAAAAAACACACATATCAAATTACCACTTTTTTTCTTCTATTACTGAATATTTGGCAAGCATTCCTTTTGTTTTAAGAAAATCTTGAATTGGAGTTAACAGCACAGTAAAACTTCGTAAAACTCTTTGTGGCTCAACCAAGGAGTATTGGCAATGAACACAAGATTAAATTTATTGTCTTCCATTTCTTTCAACAGTTCCATAAACTTGTGATGAGTCACAGCATTTGCACGTATATGCTGAACAATTTTAACAACGGTGTCTATGATGCTTTTCGTAGAGTCTGTTGCAGAGAACTGAGCCCAAATATTTTCAGTATATATCATACAGTGATATGAAGTCACAAGAAAAACAGTCTCTTGTTTTAAAATTCCAACAGATCTGCAATTTTGACCTAACATAGCTGGAGCACCATCCATTGTGACTTTTTTTTTTCGTATCTAACTGAAGTTCTTTTTTGACAAACATAAAAGATTAAAAAATATCTATGCTATAAGTTTTTAAGGTTATGAGTTGGCATTTATTTATAAATATGGGAGTTCTTGGATCAAAATATACCCAAAGTATTGTAGGCAGTGTCATATATCACATGAATCATCTAAAACTAAAGAAAAGTATTTGCAATTTTTCAAATTTTGTTACATCAACTAATCTTGGATACTGGACTTGTATTCTACAGGCAGTTACTTTGTGGTTTAGTTGAAGATTTTTTTGTAAAATATCTTTCTCAGTGCTTTCCTTATATTTTAAAACAAAATTTTCATAATTAAAATAATTTCTTTTACTATCACCATCTCAAACTGTTTTTCTTTTTTTTGTGCAAAAATCCAAGCCGGTATAAAGAGGACCATGATTTAATCATTTGAATATGATCAAAAATATTTATATATATATACATGTATACAGTGCTGTTGTTGTTGTTTGATTTTGTTTTAGTTTTTGTTTTTTTTTGTGGCTGGCCAGTACAGGGACAAATAATATATTTAAAAGCAAAAATTAAACGACATGGAACCAAGAAGGCAGCAGGGACCCGACTGGTTTTATGCAGTAGGACGTTCATCTTAGCTAGGACATCATTGCATTACTGTTAAAACGAAGAGCAGTGTCCTTAACAAGCAGACTTCTGGGCCGGCCCGGTGGCGCACTGGATAGTGCGCTGCTTGGGAAGCGCGGCGGCGCTCC